TGATTTGGTTTTTTTTTTAATTTCATATGAGGTAAAAAAGAAAAGTTAGAAATGTAAGGGAGCATCATTATGATGTGTAAAATATATTAAAAAAAAAAAAAGAATGATAATAATAACAAAAGTTTCATTTTATTTGGATTATTTTACTTTGTAGGAATACAATTTGAATAATAATATTACCGTTATGGAAATCGTCTTCTTTCTGTAATTTTATTTCGATTTACATGCATGTTTCCGTGTATTTCCTCTTTTTGCGAGTGTTAATCCGTGCGTTTTTGTTAATGAAATATATCTGGTTTATAATAATGTTTCGGGTGAATAATAAAGTATAAGGACCGTGTATTGTTTTTAACGTTCGACGTGTGTTGTTAATTTTCAGCATTGTGCATCGGGAAATTACATTATTCAGAATTATAAGTGGATTTAAAACGATGAAAAGAGCTTTCAGTGATTTTGTTTTAACCGTTTCGTATCCATGAATATTCCGAATTACACTCCTCTGAACAATTCTTTACGATAATTGGAATCATTTTTCAAAACGGAGACACTCCTTTTTTTTTTTTTTTAATACACTCCAGACATTTCAATAGAATTCATCCGCATATTTACAAAACGATAACACTTCGATTATTCCTGTATAATAATTTCTCTTTTCTAAAAATCAATTTCAAAGATCACATTTCAAAAAATCTTTCCATCGAATATTTTAAATTATTAAACACCTTTTCACACTTCGACATTACATCTTCATACACCTCTTCCAATGCTTTACATTCTCTCTAACTGCACGCATGGACAAAGAACACTCACAACATCCACTTCGATGTCCTTAAGATCTTTCGAAACGAAACGCCCATCAACCCTTTTAAGCGCGAAAACATTAACACACCTTGCCCTCCACACTTCTTTTCACCATCCACCGCCACGGTGTTTATCGTGTAATTACTATTTTCAATTAACTGGCGGAGCCCGATTATTTTTCGCTCAAGCGAAGATCGGTCGAAAGTGCCGCGCTGTGATTGCTCTCCCGGTAATTAATTTTTCCATCGTTGTATCGAATCATCCAGGTTCGCCTCGATCATCGAGGTGGATGCCTCTCACGCCTCCCCCCCTCCAAGATTTCCACGTTGCCAATTACCGCGACGTAGCCGGTGTTCCATGGATCATAGCAACGAGCAAACAAGCGACCACGGTCGAAATGAACGTGCCAACCTCTCCCCACCCTCTCTCATCTCTTGCGATCTCGTTCGATAAAGGATCGTAGCTCTATCTATCTTGGCCGTTGTTTCCGCCAACGTGAAATCGTGATATCCACGGACAGGAAAAGAGGGAAAGGGGGGACATTTCGATCGAGCCATCAAATCGTGGCCAACGACGCTCATCAACGCGGTCTCTTCGAATGTTGAGAGGGGAGGTGTCGCGATAGCCTGGAAGAAGTGAAAAAAGGAGAAGAGAAATTGGGAAAGCTGGGTAACAGGAAGGAGGAAGACGAAACGGTATATATTGGGTCGGGGGAATAAATATTTCCATTTCTTCTCGAATGGATATCGAGAACTTTCTCTCTTGATTGAATTGTAATTAACATCAAAGAAATGTTATTTGAACTTTTTCTAAATATTTAATTCGATCATTTCTTGTAGAACGGACGAGGAAACGAGGAGGGGAGGATAGAGTAAGAAGAAAGAAAGGGAAGAGGTTTCGAATTTTCTCCCTTGATTGAATTGTAATTAACATCAAAGAGATGGCGTCTTCTGCAAATTCGATTCTCTCGAGCCGAAAAATGTTATTCAAAGTTTTTCCAAAAATCTAATTCGACCACCTCTTGTAGAACGGAAAGGGACGAGAAAAGGAGAAAGGAGGAATAAAGGAAGGAGATTTCGAATTTTCTCTCTTGATTGAATTGTAATTAACATCAAAGA